AATGTTAGCAGTGAAGGTACCAGCATCCCCTGACTGGAAGAAGCACTGTGGCTCAGGTTTGCCACTTCCACAGGGTGAAACATTCCCTCCCTCTGGCCGTGTCACCTGCACACAAACCAAATCCCAGCGCCAGAACCTTCTGGGTGGATTCAGCCTGTCCCTTCCCCGCTCCAGACAGGGGACCCCAGGACCTGGAGGGAATCCAGCAGGCTGCAGACAGTACCTGCTCCTGCAGCTTTCTGCATGATTTTAGGAATTTCCCTTCCCAAGGGAGGAGCAGGTTGCACATCAGAAGGAATTTCTGGAAAGGGTTGTCAGGAATTGGAAGGGGATGCCCAAGGAGGTTTGGAGTCCCCATCCCTGGAGACGTCCAAGGAATGCCTGGATGTGGCACTCAGTGCTCTGGGCTGGGATCAGACACAGGCTGGACCCAATGGTCTTGGAGGTATTTTCCAACCTAAACAATCCTGGGATTCTGTGATCTCACACTACTTTCACTCATCAAGGGCTTTCTGGAAGCATCCTTGACCCCCCAAACCTTCTCCTGCAAGCCCCACCATCCTCACTGGAAGCTGAAAGCGCTGGCAGACAAACACTCGAGGCCAAAATGCAGCAGCTGTTTAAGAGGAACCCGACTGCTCAGCGCAGGCTGAAAACACATCACTGGGGGGAAAACGCACAGGGAGGCAAAATTAGACTGCTGGCACTGAAACAAAGGCAGAGCAACGTTGCCAAAGTGGAAAAAACAACTGCTAGGTCACAGTTCTTAACACAGCTACGCCCTGGCAGGGACAAGAGCCTGGACCTGGCGCGTTATGGATACGCCAAACCCAGCTCTTGTAGCACTCAGCAGCCCCCGGCAGCAGAGCCGCTGTCTCTGACCCCAGCAGAGCTGAAAGGGAGGCTGAAGCCAAGGGAAATCCTCCCCTCTGCCCTTCCCAGCCCAGGGATCCCACAGGGGCAAAGCGTTTGTCTGTCACCGGGACAGCAGCGGCAGGGGACAGAGCCCAGGAGCTCCCTTGAAATCTGGAGAGGATGGCACAATCCACAATCCACAATCCACAGCCTGACCCACACCTGCAAACGTCCTGGGGGAGCTACGGAGACCTACCCCAGATATCCCACATTTTACACACTGTGCGCCCAAAGCCCAGGGAAATGAGGTTACTGGAGGGCAGGAAAGAACCAGCAGCAACACGTGCTGCGCTCGGACAAGGAACGGAGCAGAAAACGACGAAACTAAGCAGGAAAAGCCAAAGCTAAGCAGAGTCTGCGATGAGAGGCAGCGAACACACCGGGAGGGCAGCGGGGGCGATGAGCGAGACCTGGGCGGGATTGACCGGGAACGGAACAGCGCAGATGATGCTGGAGCTCCTCTGAGCGCCCCAAGAGAGCCGCTGGCACCCCCAGACACAGCGGGCGGTGGGCACGGGGCAGCCCCGGGAGCCTCCGCCGCCACTTCCCCGGCCCGCGGCCCAGCTCCCCGGCCCAGCCCGGGCCCTCCCCTCACGGAGCCGCCCGGCGCGGCCCGCCCGGCTTCCCCCGGCCCGCCCGTACCTCCCAGCGGCGGCGGCGGCCGCAGCGCCGGTGCCCGGTCCCGGCACATCGCGCCCGGGCCTGCTCTCCGCTGCCGCCCGGCCCGGAAGAGCCGCACCCAGCGCTCCTCGGGACTTGTAGTCCCGTGCGCCGCTTCCTCCCCGCGCCGCCGAACCGCTTGGACTACAACTCCCAGCATCCCCCGCAGAACGGCACTCCCTGCTACAACCACCGCTGCTACTGGTTCGGCCCGGCCTCCTCCAGTGACCAATCAGGAGGCGGCAACAGAAGCCTCGGGCCACGCTGCGCTGTCCATCGCCATTGGCGCGGAGGAGAGCGGCGGCCAATCAGCGCTGGGAGAGGCGGGGCGGCGGTCACGCCAACCGCTGGCGATTGGCTGTGCCCACAGCAGCCTGACCAATAGCGGCGTGGCGGAGGCCATAAACGACGTAGCGTGGAACACGTGCGTTCTTTTCAGCCAGAGGTGCGGAATGGGGCGGTCGGGAGCGGGGCCGGTAACGGGGGTGGTAACGGGGGTATTACCGAGGGCGGGCCGGTGATGATCCACATTTACCTTTCTGACACCTCGTCTGAGGGCGGCGGGCGGCCGCAGCCCCTGCTGAGCAGCCACGGCTGAGGTCCGCGGTACCGCGGCCCGGCTGGGCGGGCGGTCGGAACCTCCCCCTCACGCGCTGCCTTCTCCCCTCAGGGCTCGGCGGGAACCGGCGGCGCGGGACTCGGCGGTGGCGGCGTCCCGGAGCCTCCGTGCCCGATCCGCGGCGGGGCCCGGCGTTCTGGGCCGCTAAAACGCGGTGTCTCCTGTTCCGGGGTTTGCGGTAAGTGGGGCTGAGCCCCATAGGGAAATCCTCTACAACTTGGAAGCACAAAGATGCAGCTGCAGAATGGGCTGGAGGAAAGAATTCACCGACTTTCACTCGCCCTCACGGGTTAGTTAAAGGTGAATGTCTGGGCAAGGTGATGGCTGCAGTAGTGCGAGTAAATGAAGGGATTTACACTCTTAACGTCAATGCTACAGTGTGCAGATGGACAATTTAAAACCTTTTTTTCTGTTTAGCTCCGTGGAAGATAACAAGTTACTCCTATAATGTTTTCTCAGTCTCAAAACCAGCCTTATTCATAATTGCTTTACTGCTGTATTTCTGCTTTGGCTTCTATATAAAACAAATTTTGTAGCTTGTGGGTGAATAAAGTTTTGTAAAGTCTGGGTTTTGCTTTTGTTTGTCACAGTTTCCATGGGTGACGTGTAACTTTACAGACTGACTGGAAACTTGTGTTTACCCAGTGGAACTGGAGTGCATTGAAATTTGCTGCGCTTTGCTCAGCCCTGCTCCCTTCATTGGAATCTTGGAGTCCCTTTGGTTGGAAAAGACTTTTGAGGCCCAAGTCCAACTGTTGTGCCACATGCACGTGGCTGTTCCATCCCTTCGGGGATGGGGACTCCAGCGCTGCCCTGGGCATCTGTGCCAGGGCTGGACAACCCTTTTTGGGGAGAAATTCTCCCAATATCCAGTTTAAACTGCATCATACCCTAGTTCTGCTATGTGGATCCAGATGGGTTCAAGGCTGAGCTGAAATATTTGAATGCCTGACAGTGCTGTGTGTTTAGACAATCAAAACACCGAGCCATGGAGGTTATTAAAAAAATTTATTAACAGGAACGAAACGAAAGCTGTAAACAAGAGCCAGCAGAAATGAGATGTAGCAGGTGAGGCCGAGTCCTCGCACGTGGCTGGGTGTGCTGAGCAATTAACTCGAATAATTAACGCTGAGCAATTCCGCGTGGTGGCAGCAGAGGCCCATGGAAAAATCAAATCCCAAATGGCCGTGAGGAGGGGCTTTGGGACCAGGCCAGTGTGAGGCACTGGGAAACCAGTCCCACACTGGGAATTGGTGACTGGGAGAGAGGGGCTGAGCCTGCTCCAGGTTTAGGTGTAAACTACAAACATGGCTGTGAGGCCTCTGCTGTAGCAGTGTTCCCCACAGGCAGGCTGGAAGTGCTCCAAAGGGAAACATTTACATCTTCCTCATTTAAAGGAGTTTTTATTGGTTTTAGTCCCACACTGAGCAAGAGGTGAGCAGTTGTCAGCTTTGTAACCCAGACAGGTGCCAGTCTGAGGGAGAGGAAGGTAGCAACCTGACATTAGGAATCCTAATCCATTAGCAATCCTAAATTTTGCCTTTAGGGAGACTCCTTGTCACTGCAGGATAGGGCTGCTACTGCTCCAAGGGCAGGATAAGGAAACAGGCTTGGAGCTGCCTGGCTGTTCCATGTTCCTGTTCCAGGCTGGTCCTGCCCCACACAAAACCAAATTACTGGGGTGAGGGGGCCCTGACAGCCCCCCCATCACAGAGCTTCACCTGGCTGCTCCTGCAGGGACTGGCAGCAGGGTTTGCCAGGAAAGTTCCTGCAGGAATGGGTTTTCCACAAGTGATTTTAAAATTTAAATCAAGACAATTTTAAGACTCGTCTCTCCCCTAAAAATACTATTTTGGGAAAAAGAACAGGTTCATTTTAAGATCATTTTTCACCCCGTGAAGCTGTAGCTGCTCGTGTAGCTGTAGCTCCCTGAGGAGTGAAGCTGGAGCATGTGGGAGTTGCACAGGCTCCTTGTGCCCATCAGGAAAGTGGTGCTGGAGCCAAAATCCCAGGCAAAATGAGGGGCAGGGGGATCTGAGTCAGCAGCTGGGGCTGGTACTGGCTGGAGGGCAAAGGATGGGTTCTTCTGTTTCATTTGGAGACGCCACCGAGGCTCGGCACAGTGGGCACCTGCTGATGTGTGCGTGGAGTTTTCAAAGGGAAGAATTGCCAAAGGCCAAACACTTCATCCAGATTCAAATTTGTACTGAGAAGTGCAGCTTGACAAAAAAACAGCCAAAAGCCTGACACAGACCAAAGGGGTGAGGAGGCCCTTGAAGAGAGCTGGCAGGAGTCTGCAGCCTGTAAAATCACTGCCTGCAGCTTCCCCCCAGCTCTCTGCAGTGAAAAGAAAGAGCTGCCCAAGTGAACTTTGAAGATATCAAAGCGTTGTTGCAGTCTGAAAACACCATCACACTTACAGGAAGGTATTTAGAATAAGCTGCAATACATTAGGTTTCTTCTCAAAGTACTAGAAAGGGCAGAAGGAGGAGAAGCAGAGCCTTTCCCAAAGGGATGAACATTCAGAAATCTCTGTACACAGCCAGGTGGGCAGGAGCTCACTCAGACAGACAAGCTCTGCCTTTGCAGGGAACAGGAGAATCCCTCACTGGAAGCGTGTCCCACCTCACAGGGATGGACAGACAGGAGAAAGCAACTACAAAAATGTGTGCCTTTAAACACACCCTTCCTGCATGCCCCAGGCCAGGGCTCTCAGCTGAGTTCCAGCTACACAGGGAAGGAAAAGGGAATTCAGGACTTCCTCCTACCCAGAAAAAAATCAGGACTTGTTTCCTCCTAGGTGGGGAGAAGGTGTTGGTTCCCCTGTGTCACACCCTGGCTCTCACAAGGGTTACAGCAGCCTCACAGAGCAGGCACAGAAGGAGACCCCAGCCCCTTCCCAAACATCCACCTCCCACCTGCGAGCTGCGCAGGAACGCTGGCAAGGGGAGCTGGAGCCGATGGATGTGACGGGGCTGCAGAATCCGAGAGCTTTTCCTGCTGCTCCTGTGCTCTGGTCTCAGCTGGCCTTCGGGGCAGACACAGACACGACAGACAGACAGACATGCACACACTGCCCACGGGCCCGAGTCTCTGTACAAACACGCCTTAGGACCTGCAGCAGCCCGAGCCTCGCACTTCCTTCTTCACGTAGTCGTGGAGCTTGAATTTGGGCTCGTTGGGCAGCTTCATGGACCTGTGCTTCAGCTCCCTGGGAAAGGGGAAAGATGTTACTCCTGCTGCTGCTTCTGGCAGGGAGAGGATTTGGTCTGGAAGGTGCCAGATTTTGGACAAGGGCATGGAGTGGCAGGACGGGGGGATGGCTTTCCACTGCAGGGATAAGTGGGATGTTTGGAAGGAATTCTTCCCTGTGAGGATAGTGAGGCACTGGCACAGGATGCCCAGAGAAGCTGTGGCTGCCTCTGAATCCCTGGGAGTGTCCAAAGCCAGACTGAACAGGACTTGGAGCAACCTGGGATGGGTGGAAGGTGTCCCTGCTCATGGCAGGGGATGGAACCACATGGGCTTTCCAATCCATCCCATCCCAGGATTCTATGATTCCAAGCTGACTTGTCCAGCTCAGTTGATCTCAGCATGGCCTGGACACTGCTAAAGCTCCTCATGATGACAAGGCCACTGCTCTGGTCACTTACTTGGCGATGGCTGTGAACGCTAATTCCACGTTGAGGCCGCTCTTGGCGCTGGTCTCCATGAAGGGCACTCCGTACTCCTGTGGGATGAGACACAGCCGTGACAGGAGTGGCACCAAGGGTGGTCCCAGGGCTCAGGGAGTAATATTTGAGGACAAAGAAACAAGAGGTGTTAGTAGAAGCTTGAAGAAGAACAGATGAGGAGAAAGGGGAGAGCGTGACAAGGGAAAAAAAGCCAAGCAAAAAAACCTGTTCCCAGGTGTATTTTGTGTCAGGCTGGTCTCCAGGTGACCATTTCCTGTGCACACCCTCAAGGACATCCTCAGGTACCTCACCTACCTTGGCAAGTTTCTCTCCATCTTCCCTTTTCACCACTCTGTCCTGGGCAGAATCCACCTGCATCAGGAATGTCAAAGAGCAATTTGTGGGGATTTGGAAGGTCACCAGTGTGTACCTCCCTGTCCCCTCATGCCCTGCCAGGCTCCCCTGCCTCTGGCTCCAGCATGGGAGGAAGAGGAGGCTGTGGCAAAGCCCTGGGGCCAGGCTCACCTTGTTTCCCAGTAACATGAGGACCACATCCTGCTGTGCGTATTCATGGATCTCTGTCAGCCAAGCCTGGAGGGACACAGCCAAAGAGAGGGGTTGGCAACAGCTCCAGGAGGAGGAGGGGAATGGGAATCACGGGGAGCTGCCCCAGTCCTGGCACAGACACCCTCAGCAGGCAGTGCTGCCATCCCAGGCAATGCTGGGGGTGTTCCATGGATGATCCCTCTCACCCTGGGGTGTCCACCCCACTTTGGCTGCTACCAGATCCCCATTTCCCAGGGAAACAGCAGCTTTCTGACCCCCCTGCCCACTCCATCTGCCCAGGGGTGCTTGTAGGGCTTTGACCCTAATTCCCCCTCGATTGGGATGTTCAGACTGAACCTCCTTTCAGAGGACAAGGCCAAGGGTTGGCTCCGGGATGTGCCTGTACCCATGTCCAGCACGTGCTGCCCTGGTGCTGAGCACACTGCTCCCAGCAGGCACCCGAACCTGCCCCCCTGAGCTGTGGGGTGGCTTCCCTGCCCTCTAATCCAGCCTAATCCAATCAAACCTGCTCTAATTCCCTGTAATCCCTGACCCCATGGTGTGAGCAGCCACCTGCTGTCTCCAGTGCTGTTGCTGGGCTCATGGCAATTCCTGGTGATCCCTGGTGGTCTCTGGTGATCCCTGCTCCAAACCCTGCTGGAGCCCAAGACGTGGCTGGAGCCCAAGACGTGGCTGCAGCCCCAGGACCACACTGCACCCAGGCTGAGCTCAGGGTGCTCAGTTCCATTGTGGGCTGGAGTCACTCCTGACTCCCTTTGGATGCCTTCTGACTCCCCTCTGGCTCCATCCCTCTTTCCAAAACCTGGTAATTCCCCTGGGTGCTCATTCCTTCACCCTGGGGCTGTGTCCTGCAGGGACATCCCTGCTGTGTCCCCAGGATTGCTGATGCTGCAGATAGGGCAGTGTTAGCCAGCAATGTGAAACCTCCAAAGGATTTTCTTTCACAGGGTCCCCAGCCCCGAGCAGACGCAGAGCCTGGTTAACACCCAGCACTCACCCTCCTTGAGCCATCCAGCTCCTGAGGCTGGAAACTGCCAGTTCCAGCTAGGGGGAAGCATTCCCAGTGCTGGTGACACGTGAGCAGGGTGGCAGGACCTGCCCTGTCCCTGCCATGGGACTGCAGGCACAGGGAGGGGTGGCAGGTGTGGTGCTGCCGAGGAAAGGATGCTCTGGAGCAGGGAGAGCTCCAGGGCCCCAGGGGATCGGGGGCTGTGGCAACCGTGGAGCTGATGTGACACATCACAGCCCCAGGGTGTTGATGCCACCATGGCACGGGGTGTTTGTGCAGGCACAGCTGCTCCCCGTGGATGCACACAGTGTTCTCATGCAATTACATCCAGTCCAGTCAGGGATAATTGCTCCCCGGCTCAGGACATGCTCTGGCAGCGCTGGCACAGGTGGCCACATGGGGCTGGTGTGGTGAAGGGAGGGGACACTGAGTGCCCAGGTGTCCCTGACCCCCCCATTGCAATGTGGGCAGCATCTGCTCTCCGCCTCTGCCGGGTTGGAGAGCCCCAGCACCGCTGCCCTGAAGGACCCAGGGGAGGGAGCAAACTGGGGCAGCAGCAGGCAGCCCCCAAAGCTGGCAGGAAGGGCTGGCAGGCTGGGGACGTGCTGCACGATGGGACCCTCTCCCTGCCAGGTCTGGACAAAGCTGGGGGACAGTGAGGTGCCCAACCCCGACCCACTGTGACCTGAAGGAGCAGAGGGGGATGAGGGAGCAGCTCGCTGGGGAAAGCTCCGGTGCTCAGCTACTGCAGCAAGTTCTGTGCCAGTGCTGTTAATTACACAGCGTTAATTGGCTGGAACAGTGAATCCATCACCCTTTATTTGCTGTGAAAGGCAAAACCTTCTGGGCCTGTCCCCTGCCTGTCCTTGCAGGTGCTCAGCAGTAACCACAGCCCTTCTGCAAGTGACCACAGCTCCCACCTGCAGCACGCACCTCCTGTACCGACCACAACCACAACCCCGCCGGGCACATGAGGGACAGCAGGAGGGGCTGGGGGTGCTGCTGTACCTGGATGTTGTCGAAGGACGCTTTGTTGGTGACATCGTAGAGCAGGAGCAGGGCTGTGGAGAGAGGGACAGGCCATTAGTGCCCACGGCTCAGAGCACACTCTGCAGGTCACGGGTGGGGATGGGAGGTCCCTGCGAGATACAGAACACACTAAAATCCAGCACAGCAACACTTCCCACTGCCGGTGTTTGCAGAGCCTCCTCCATCTGCAGCAGCTGCTTCCCATGGAAAACCACTCCAGTGATTCCTGGCTCAGCTGGCCTGGAGTGGCGGCTCAGGGCCCCCGAGAGCTGGAGCGAGGGGCTCCCCGAGAGCAGAGCTGGCCGTGCTTACCGTGGGCATCGCGGTAGTAGGCGTGGGTGACGCTGCGGAAACGCTCCTGCCCGGCCGTGTCCCAGATCTGGAAGGCAGACAGGAGCAGAGGGATCAGACCTGACTCACCCAAACCAGCCCAAACAGCATGGTGCAACCCCAGGAAGCCTCTCCAGCTTTTGCTCCCAGGGACATCAATAGGAAAAATGACCAGAGGAATAAATACGGAAGCAGCCTTTTCCCGCTCCTCAGCGTCGGGACACGACGTGGGCAAGGGCTCCCAACACGGCCATTAATCAGAAAATCCATGGAGCAGATGGATGCATGGGGACCCACTAATGTGATTTATCAGTCCTTAATGCAGCAGGAGGTCTGCAGAGTGCACTCTGCTGCCTGGGGGATCCGTGTTACCGAGCTCCAGGCCAAGGGCTCGGAGAAACTGTCAGGTCTGAGGGGGCTGGAGCAGCTCTGGCTGCAGGGACACATGGGCTGGGATGGGATCACTGTGGCCAGAACAGCCCCCAGCCCTGAGCAGGCTCCTGCCAAGGAGACAGAGCAGCCAGAAGGGTCCATAAGGCTGTCCCAGGGCAGGAGACACAGCCACAAAGGATGGAGGTAGGGCCCCATTTTGGGGGTGCTCCTCTGCTTTGTCCTCTGAAGGAGCTTTGTCCATCTCTGAACACCCTGGGCAGCAAGGGAGATGCTCCCAGGGACATGGGGACTTACCTGCAGCTTCACCTTCACCCCATCCACCGTCAGCACCTTGTTCTGGAAGAGAATGGAAAGGGTGGTGAGGGGTGAGCGCAGCTGCAGAACACCAAGGGAGGCACAGCCAGTCCCCATCCCAGTGTTTCCCCCAAACCCTCGGGCTGTTCCCCTCTCCTGCTTCTTAAACTCCCATCCACTGGTCCCAGCACCTGCAGAGCCATTCTCACTGTGGCCTCGCTAGAGGATCTCTCCCTGTATCAGCACAAGATGCAGAGGATTTGGATACCTAAATCCTGGCAACACCCAGCTCAGGCTGGAAACCTCCGGCCATTAATTAATGAGCACCAGCATCCCACTTTAATGGCCTTCAAAAGACAGAATCAGCCACTCCACATCCAGCCAGCAAATTAAAAATAACTCCTGCTCCTGCCTCCTGGACCTGTTTTTCCCCTGGTTTCTCTCTCAGGATGTTTTCTCATCCTGTTTTGCTTGGTTTTAGGAAAGGTGGAACCAAGGAGGAGAGGGGGAAGTGTCCCTCCACACTGTTTTCCCCAAAGCCAACAGGGTATTTTGTGTGGAAGGATGCTCTGGCAGAGCTGGGAGCTGTGTGGGAGCCCCTCAGTGCCCCTCAGGGTGGCTGTGCCAGACACGGAAGGCAGGAGATGGATCCCGTGTCCCAGAGCAACCACCACCCCAGCAATCTGCACCAGCCTCTCCAAACATTAAAGGAATGCAAGCCTACAGACCAGTGGTCCCAGGAGAAGAAGCAGAGAAGAGATTAATTTGCTCACCAGATCCACAGAAATTAGCACAGTAATCAGTGGAACGTGCTGGAAACACGGCCAGGGAACAGCACACCAGTGGGATGAGGCAGCTGGTGGCTGCTCTGATGATAATTTAAATCCCATTTCCTCCATTTGCTCTGGAGCTGGTTTGGGATGCTCCCATCTCCCACGTCACTTGGGATGGCCAAGGCTGCCGTGACCCCGGCTGGGCTCTGCTGGCTCAGCCCTGGCACTGGACACACCACCAGCCACTCCAGTGCCACCAGACCCCCCCAGGGATCATGCCAAGATCCATCCCTGCACATTCTCAGCACCACCACCCCTTCAGGTGCTGGGCGAGGCTCTCCATTGATAGTTCTAACGAGGGCAGAGGGAGCACCTCATCTCCTGCACATCTACACAAGGATCCAGCGAGGAGGAGAGGGCAGGAGAGAGCCGGAGCGCCGAATCCTCCGTCTGCTCAGGCAGGCGCAGGGAGACGGCCGAGGTTTATAAATACCTTCAAAGGCAGCGACTGAGACGGGGGAGAGAAGTGATTCACAGCCCGGGAGCTGTAAAAATAGGCAGCCAGGGACTGGGGTGGGGGAGCTGGGAAGTACTTGGGGAAAAGCCGGGGCTCGGGGAGCTGGCCAGTGCTCCCTGCATGTGGAGCTGAGACTTTGCCAGCATGTGACACCAGGGCTCCTGAAGTCTTGAAGAGCCTAAAAATCCCAGGGTTCCCACTGCCACAAAGTGCTCCCTGGACCTTGGTGCCTCTGCCCAGGGCTCCCAGGTGAGCAGGGACAGAGCCATGCCCAGGGCAGAACCCCAGCCGTGGCAAACGGTGCTGAGCTGCACCTCCACCTCGTCCCAGAGGACGGGAACAGCCCTGTCCTGACCTGTGCCACAGGTGAGACAGGGCAGTTTGTGCTCTGCAGGAGAGCCACTCTCTGAGCTCACCTTGCTGACCAAAACCCTGGCTCCTACGTGCGGGTGCCGGCAGCTCATCCTGCAGGGACATCCCACAGGGACATCCCACAGGGACATCCCAAAGGTTCTGCACTGGAACATCCCACAGGGATATCCCACAGGGACATCCCACAGGTTCTGCACTGGGACATCCCACAGGGACATCCCACAGGTTCTGCACTGGGACATCCCGCAGGGACATCCCACAGGCTCTGCACTGGGACAATGCCATTCCAAACCCCATTCCCAGGTGCTGGCAGCCAGCTGCCAATACCACCTGCCACAGCCCGTGCCAGGGACCGCAGAGGAAGGCAAAGGTGCTGTGTTTCACTATCGGCCCCAGCTCTTGGCACGAGGGGATGAGGCCACGTGTGTGATGGATGGTGACAGGGGACAAGGACACGGTGAGCGTCACACTAAAACCAGCTCCAGACAGGTGCCCTTCCCCATGGCCACATGAGCAGCTCCAGCTCAGAGCAGGGTGTGTGGCTGTGCCCAGGGACGTGGCCACGTCCCCAGTGTGGCCTCCAAGGCTGACAGAACACCGTGGGTGGGAGGGAGGGAGGGAGAACATGGCCCCGGCTCTGAGCATGGATCATCCAGGCCAAAGCCACCTTGAAGCATCTGGTGAGCAGCCAAAAAAGCTGAAGCTCAAAGGTGCCCCACATGCGCTGACCTCCACTTCAGCAGTTAATTAACACGGAGCCGGCAGCAACAGGAGTCACACTAATTACGACTGACCTATATTTTAGGGTGGTAAATGCTTAGACCTAATTAAAGTCTGCACAGGGATCCAGGTGCTGCTGGACCAGCCTGGAGAAAAGATTGATTTTCTGAGGACTGGGCATGGAACAGAGCAGGGTTCCAGGGTGAGAAGCTGTAGAAGTGCTCCTGCAGGCAGGAGACACAGCCAGGGCAAACCAGAGCATCACTCCAGCCACCATCCCTGCCTGCAGCCCAAAGAAGTTTGCCCAGAGCAGCTGTGGCTGCTCCATCCCTGGAAGTGTCCAAGGCCAGGCTGGATGGGGCTTTGAGTAACGGGGTTTAGTGGGAGATGTCCCTGCCCAGGGCAGGGGTGGATTAAGGTCGCTTCCAACCCAAACCATTCCAGGATTGTACAATCCCTGCCTGCCCCCAAGCACAGGGTGGCTGCAGAACACGGGTGAAGAAGCCAAGGAGAAGGTGGGAGGAGCAGGGTGGGAAAGGGCAGGGGGCTGCTGCCAGCAGCACACACCAGCGGGGTTCAGATGAACCAGATGTCTCGCTGATACCATGGCTAAGTGACTTTCCAGCCTCCAATTTTTAATTTTTTTTTTTTTTAAGGAGCTGCCTCAATTCCCTCCTGTCAGCCCTTCCAAGGCACAGCTGGGGGCTGAGCTCCTAATAAGCATCCAAAGACAAAAGACGCCGTGTGTCAATGCACTGAGACGTGAAATGTGCTGCCAGCCCTGCCGGGGAGGGGAGGGGCTGTGCTGCTCAGGGCTCCTTCCTCATCTCACCCCTTTGTTAGAACAGAGGCTCCCAGCAGCCTCCTGCCACAATTCGGGCACGAAAACCATCCCTGCAGCTCAGCTCTGCTGTCGCCCTTCCCAATTTCAGTTTTTGTGTCCTTTTTCCTGGGGCTGCACAAACGTTCTTGAACTCTCATCTAGCAGGGAATGCCCGCAGTGCCTGGGGTGGACAAACGCAATGCTCCCAAGTTAAACAATCTTCAGGACATCAGATAAAGCTGGAATCTTGCAGATGCAGGAGAAGTTAAATTACCAGGTGCAGATGGTCCTCAATTAAGAGCAGCATTATCACACAGCGAAGCACGATCCCAGGATCGGCAGCAGAAGGGAGGGAGGGGAAGGCGATGGAGCGAAACCTCCGGCCACAGACGATGCTCCCTGCTCTGCTCTCACAGCAGCTGAGGATGGACAAACACCACATCCCGGCTCACAGGGTCCCACAGTGCCCGTGAATCCCACCAGGAGCAACTGGAACACCCCCAGGTGCCTGAGCCTGAACCCTGAAACTGCAGCACAACCCAGGATCAGCATCATCGACAACCCGGCCTCTCCCAGCTCTTACACGCATGAACTCATTAATTAAAGCCTTTAAAGTTAAATTGGATACATGGATCCGTTTGCTTGGCAATTAACAGCACAAATGGGGAGCTGCTCGCTGGCACCATTCAGGCTCCAGGCACGGGACCCCCAGCCTGGCTCCCTGGAGCCTGTGGCTGCTGCTGGCTCCAGTGGTGCTGCCCAGGAGTGCCACCCAAGCACCCCCTGCAAAGGGGGGGCTCCACTTTGCCCATGGAAAAGAAGCCCCTCAAATATCTCTATTGGGTCTTGGAGGCATCTCCTGCAGCTGAGGGGGGGAAATTCCTGTCAAAATGGGGGTAAAAGGCATTGGTGACTATAGATCAAAGCAGGCGCAGGCGCTGGGGCAGCACAGAGTTAATTAGTGCTGGTAATGAGCTGTGGGACTGACAGCTCAGCCACCCAGAAATGTCATTAGGTTGTGGTGTCACCAGGCCAGGCCACCCAGGAGCGAGGGATAGATTGGGTTATCTTTCATTTCAGGAAGCCAGGAGACAGCCAGCAGTGAGGACTGGCTGAAGGGATGCTGGAGCACCCCAGCCCCGTGCCAAGGCCTGACCACGCCAAATTCCCACCTGGCAAAGCCCAGGGAGCCCCTGAGAGCACAAACACTCCTGTGCCAGGAGGAAATGGGATGAGTTGTGATATAGCAGACACACAAATAACCACCACCTCCAACGGCGGCTGCAAAAATAGACTGAGGATCGATATGGAAATCTGCCCAAAACAGCAGGACACTGCATTAAATTTGCTCGTTAAAACCTTGAGGTTTTCCCAGACATGCGCAGCCAGGGAGCTGCTCCTGGTGGCTCAGCATCTCTCCAGGCACAGCACGTGGCACAGGGACATCCCAGCCCGATGCCACGGCCAGGATCCAGCAGCTTTGTCCCCTCAGTGCTCCAAAACCTGGTCCCTCTAAACCCGAGCAGTGCCCGATCCAGCACAGCCCAGCCATCAGCAGCTCCATGGAGAACACAGCCAGCCCACTGCTCCACGCTGGGAAAACCCTTCCAGGAGCACATTCCCTGCAGGAGAGGGGAGGGCACAGCCTGATGCCGTGCTGGAACCTGCAGAAAGCCTCTGGGAATGGGGAGAGCAGGGCAGGGTGTGGGCTGGAGGCAGGCTGTGTGGCTGGACACGGTCCTGCTCCAGCCCTGCTGTGCGGGGCTGGAGGATGTGATGTCCCAGCACTGGGAATCGCATTCAGTGATCCTCTTCCTCCTCCTCAGCTGTGCCACCA